TATTATAATGAGTATAATTCTAGTAATATTATAAATCTACGGTTCTAGTTTATTTATTTATTATTATTATTATTTTTTTTTTGGTTTTTCCTCTTTTGTCCCACACTAAGTCTGTGATGGGACTCTTGTTGGGGGAGAATTACTTAAAACTTATCAGAAATCCTATAAGTATAATTTGACGTAAAATTATAAATTTAAAATAATATATTATTAAATAATATTTGTTATTAAATAATATAATATAAAATTTTAAGTTTAAAATAATAATATATCATTAAATAAGTTATTATCTGGTTAATATATAAAACATTCGATTTGCAATAAAAGTAAAAATTTTAAATCTCCACCACATCAAACCAGTGTTGTCAAACTCGAGTTTTATATCGTAAAATCGTAAGACTTTACGATGTTATGTATGAATTCCGAATAAAATCTATTTTAAAATCGGGTTTTCATAAAATCGGATGATAAAAACGTAAAAGCACGATTTTTCGAAAAAATCGTTTGAAATCTCGATTTCACTTTCACAAAAATTGAAGAAGAGATTTCCAGAAATTTGCCGCAAGGGAGGGAAAGATTTTGGACTGCTGCGGTGCCGGCTTGCCGCTGCTCACTGCCACTGCTCACATCTCAGGCATTGGCGGGATGGAAATCTATTTGGTGACCCAAATCATGTGGAGCCAGCCTTACATACTAGGATTTGGTTGCTGCTGCTCACTGCTCAGGCAAAGAAGGATAAAATTTGTTGCCAGAAAAAGGAATAGATAAGGATCAGGAAGCGAGCTTGAATGGTGAAAAATGGTAGAAAAGGAAGGAAGATAATAAGGCGAAGAAGGTGAAACAATGGAGGTGTACTCTTTTTAATTGGTAGTATGTTGACAAGTGATTGGTGTTGTTTTTTGGGCAGTGCTAGCTGTTTTTTGGGCAATGTTAGCTACTAGGAGCACTCGCCTCCTGCACTCTCCAGCCAACACATGCTTTTTTATTGGGCCACCTAAGCTTACTTAGCCACGAAATGATGACCTCTCCAGAAACCAACATAACGTGGC